GCCTGAGCCTGATGAGGAGACCCCGGCCGGGCCTGGCGGTTGCACAGACCAACCTCCCTAGGGCCCCAAACCCCTGGGAGCCTGCGACCACCCAGCTCCAGTCTGGGCTCTCACTGTTACTGGAAAGAGAGTCCCGATCCAGACTTCAAGAGAGGGTTTCTGGCTCTTAGGCAAGAAAGAATTCAAGTCCAGTCCATAAAGTGAAAGCAAGTTTATTAGGAAAGTAAAGGAATAAAGAATGGCTACTCCATAGACAGAGCAGCCCTGAGGACTGCTGGTTGCCCATTTTTATGGCTATTTCTTGATGATATGCTAAACAACGGGTGGATAATTCACGCCTCCCCTTTTGAGATCATATAGGGTAACTTCCTGACGTTGCCATGGCATTTGTAAACTGTCATGGCGCCGGCGGAAGGGTAGCAGTAAGGACGACCAGAGGTCACTCTCATCGCTATATTGGTTTTGGTGGGTTTTGCGGCTTCTTTATTGCAAGCTGCTTTATCAGTATGACCTGTATCTTGTACTGACCTCCTATCTCATCCTGGGACTAAGAATGCCTTAACTTACTGGGAATGTAGCCCAACCGGTCTTAGCCTTAGTTTACCAAGCCCCTGTTCAAGATGGAATTGCCCTGGTTCAAACGCACCTGACACCACCCTCCAGGTGGAAGACGGGGTCCCCAGGGGGCAGGCGGGCCTCCACAGATCCGGGGCCATTCATCTTCGCAGGGCCGCAGCCAGCCGCGGGGCGCCCTGCTCCCAGGTGTAGCCAAAATGGCCCTGAGTCTGTTTCCACCAGGCTGGGGAGGGGCGCGAAGAGGCGCAAGCCGCTGATTGGGCCAGGCACAGGCACAGCAAGAAGCAGTTTGGGGGAGGCAAGAATCTGGTTGGGCAAGACAAGGAACTAACCGGGCAGGCGAGACGCTGATTGGATGAGGCAGGTTGCTTATTTAGCAAAGCATGACTCTTACTGGGCATCGTGTGTCGCCGGTAGGTCGTAGCGGTGCGATGATTAGGTAGGTCAGTTCGGGCGGGCCGCGCGCGCGGGCTTTAGGGACTTGTGGTTTCTGGCCTCCAGCGTGAACTGGTGCGATGATTAGGTAGGTCAGTTCGGGCGGGCCGAGCGCGTGGGCTTTGGGGACTTGTCGTTTCCGGCCTCCAGCGTGAAGCGGTGCGGTGATTGGGTAGGTCAGTTCGGGCGGGCAGAGCGCGCGGGCTTTGGGGACTTGTCGTTTCCGGCCTCCAGCGTGAAGCGGTGCGGTGATTGGGTAGGTCAGTTCGGGCGGGCCGAGCGCGCGGGCTTTGGGATTGTGTTCGGCTCAGTGGGGGGGGGGGGGGGGGGGCGGGGGCTTGGGGACTTGTCGTTTCCGGCCTCCAGCGTGAAGCGGTGCGGTGATTGGGTAGGTCAGTTCGGGCGGCGCGCCCGCGGGCTTTGGGGACTTGTCGTTTCCGGCCTCCAGCGTGAAGCGGTGCGGTGATTGGGTAGGTCAGTTCGGGCGGGCCGCGCACGCGGGCTCTGGGGACTTGTCTTTCCGGCCTCCAGCGTGAAGCCGACTGTGGGCTCTGGAAAGTCCGCGGTTGTGTGCACTGGTGCTTGAAGCTTAGCGGGGCGACGCTTCGGGAGAGAGGCAGAACCAGCCTCCTAGAGCTGTGGGCTCGGCTGGGTCGCGACTCCGCCATTAACCCCCCCCGCCAACAACCCCTCCGCCAACGTCCCCCTCGCTTGTCGTCCTCCCTCGGGCCCTGGTCAGCCTCCCCCGGGCCTGCAATCTTTGACGCACTTCGAGGCGGAGACCTGGCCTTGGAAAGCACCCGGGGAGCCACTCCGTAGCCTGTGCAACTAGGATGGACCCTCCTCGCTCAGACCCATGCTGGCCATGCTGAATAGCCCCGCACATTCTCACAGCAGTGACAGGGAATCGCGAGCTATGAGGGAAAGGCAAAATCATTTCGCACAGCATCAAATACCACAACCCCAAGTGTGGTTTTACACCCTAAGAAAGAAAGATCACACTATTGGAGGATAACTTTTGTGTGGTGCAAATGTCAGTGATTTTGTTTATGTTTTTGGATGCACTGTAGTCCACTGAGGCATTTTATTTGTAAGCATTACACCCCTAGAAAAAGAATCCCAGGATTTTCCCTCTTGTGTATTTTTGTCTTGATGCTTCGTGGTCCATGATGCCGGCTGAAGTCAGTACAATGAAACCAAATTGGCGGGATGAGAGCAGATTATTCTTCCGTTTTTCTAGAACTTTGAGTACATCAAATCTGGGGCTGATCATTCCACACTTGTTTAACCTGCCTGTGAGGTTCACAACAATTTCCCCAGTTCTGTGATCATCAGTGATGTCAGATTTACCAATGTAACCATGCTTCATCATCACAATTAGAAACCGGAGAATGTCTTTGGAGCACCGCCTAATAAGAATCTTTTTTTTTTTTTTTTGTTCTGAGACGGAGTCTCGCTCTGTCGCCCAGGCTGGAGTGCAGTGGCGTGATCTCCGCTCACTGCAACTTCCGCCTCCCGGGTTCACGCCATTCTCCTGCCTCAGCCTCCCGAGTAACTGGGACTATAGGCGCCCGCCACCATGCCTGGCTAATTTTTTTTTATTTAGTAGAGACGGGGGTTCACTCTATTAGCCAGGATGGTCTTGATCACCTGACCTCGTGATCCGCCCTCCTCGGCCTCCCAAGGTGGTGGGATTACAGGCTTGAGCCACAGCGCCCGGCCCGTCATGTACCTTTCCACTGGTGTACTGGATATATGGAAGGTGGACCCTCCAGGCATTAATCCTCTTTCTGACAATCACAGACCCAGTGAGCAGCAGAGTGAGGATTTAAACCACATCTAATACTTGTGTCTAGTGTGTCAGCTCCCACACGTGCAGTCCCTCTCCCTGCCTTCCTCTTCCTGTCTTGCAAGTACAGGTGGGGATACACAGTATTTAAAGGTAAATGCTGGCATACTTGTAGACCTTCTTATCCAGAGTTGGCCACTACACTCTCCTGCCTTTCCTAACCTTGCTACTCTCCCTTCAAGAGATGGAGTTTAACCCCCTTCCCACTGAATCTGGCTGGCCTTAGTGACTGGCTTGTAAAGGATAGACTGTCCTAGGGTGACACCATGTGACCTAGGCTGGGTCAGAAAAAGCCATGCTGTTTCTGCCTAATTCTGTTGGAACCCTGGCTCTTCAGATGAGAGAACCCAACACAACTGAACTCAGCCTTAGAGCCACCTCAAGCCCAGGTGCCAGCCATGAGATGAACCTAAGTATTTTTGGTCCAGAGTTTAATGTTTTTAAATGTTACACAGAACTCAAGAGCAAAGGTGGAGCCTAGAACAAGGAATGGAGCAGGTCATATACTATGGGCTATGTGACCTAGAGAAAGAATGTGAACTGTGGGCAAATACATGCTCTAGTACTGCCAGTGTCTTTTTGCTTAAGTGATGGGCTCCTGGCCAGAGCAGTTGCCTTCCTTGTGATAGTCTCTCAGGAAAAATGGAAACACAAACCAAATGAAGCTAGGCATGGTGATGCATGCCTGTAGTCCCAGCTGCTTGAAAGGCTGAGCCAGGAGGATCCTTTGAGCCCAGGTGTTTGAGGCTACAGTAAGCTATGATTCTACCTCTGCACTCTAGCCTGGGTGACAGAGCGAGATTCTGTGTCAAAAAACCAAAAGAAACATGAATATTCCCGGGAAGCCCCACACTTGCCTGGGGTTTCCAGCCCTTTGGGTTTAAGTTTTCCTTACCTCCACCTAACCATGTCATGACAACCCCCTAAGGAATAGAAAGATCTAGTCATCCCAACTCACATAGTATCTTGTGCCCAAGGTGCTGCAGCCTTGCACAGAATCTTCTAGAACTATCTGATAATCTCCCTCCTTGTGTTTTAATGTTCCTTAAATATTAATCATTACTACAGGATTTAAGTAGGCAGGAAATACACAGGTTCTACACAGAAATAGATCAATAGTTTATTTATCCACACTATCTTTTAATCCTTAATTCATATACATAAATACTGTGGTACTGTGGATATAATATCAGTGCAGATTATTAATTACCTGGCTTTTTAAAAGTTATTATATAACATTTCAGATTTTATTAATCTCACTTTTAATGACTAAATGAGTGAACAAACAATATCAAGTGAATGGGAAATCTTTTTTCCAACAAATGTTAATAACTCTTCACTCATTTTATTTATTCATTATGTGCTGGGCAGTCTCCTCAGTTGTCCTTTGGTTTTGGGAATGTCCTCACTCAATGCTTCCCTTTCACATTCAGTTCTGATTCACAAGCAGGCCTGTGCACGTTATATTGTAGGGTCAAGCTGAAAAGACAAAGTTTCTTCAACTGGATTGAGATCTATGAGGTAGGCTGTTTCTTCTTTCGCTTTGTCCTATTGTGGGTTCTCTGGTGCCCGATAAGGTGTGAGCTCTGGGTGAAGGCCTTTCCACATTTGTTGCATGCATATGGGCGCTCTCCGGTGTGAGTCCTCTGATGTCTGATGAGGTGGGAGCTCTGGCGGAAGGCTTTTCCACAGTCCTGACACTTGTAGGGCTTAGCTCCAGTGTGAGTCCTCAGGTGCTGGGAGATGGCTGAGCGATCATTGAAGGTCCTCCCACACTCATGACATTCAAATGGTCTCTCTCCAGAATGAACTCTCTGATGCTGTGTAAGGGAAGAGCTCTGAACAAATCCTTTCCCACAGGCTTGACACACATAGGGCCTCTCTCCTGTATGAATTTTCTTATGCACAGAAAAGTATCTTGGGTTCCGGAATATTTTACCACATTCACTGCATCGGCAAACTTGGCTCCCCTTGTGAATTCTTATAAATGTAATCTGTTTAGCACTCCGACTGAAGGTTTTCCTGCAACCATTGCCTTCCTTGGCCTTTTGCCTTTCATAGCTCTTCTGATGAATTTTTACACGTGAATTATGTTTCATACTTTTAACTTGTGAGTCACATTTGCGCAATTGTTTTCTAGGAGGAATTTTCTGGAGCAAAACTTGGTTTGTGTTAAGAGCACCATTGTTTACCTGGGACTCAACGCTGTCAATTTTCTGGAGCGAAACTTGGTTTGTGTCAAGAGTACCACTGTTTGCCTGGGACTCATGGTTGTCAAAGTGCTTCTTCTGAGGAAGGTCTTTTTCCTTAGCAGACTCCACCTGCTTCAACACTGTTTCTTGGACTTCCTGGACTCCACCCTGCAAGGTATCTTCTAATGTAGAGGACAAGGTACAATCCCTTGAGGATTCTTGCACTTTCAGGCTGGGGGCTGGTTCTTCCTGAGGAATGTCAGAATTTGGAGCTAACTCTTTATTTTCCAATGTAGTCTCCCACCCTGAAAAAATAAACAAAAGATGTGGATACAACAGGGAGATGTGCTGGGATGGGTCTGAGAGCATGAAATGCATAATTAAGTTCAAAAGTCAGGATTTTTTTTTCCAAGTAGAGTCATGCAACCTGGAGAGAGACTGAAAAGCAATGAAGCAGCAGGGAGGGGAGTACTGACCTTGGTGAACAAGGGACAGAAAGGGTAGGGAGTATCCTCTGAGCTCTTCGAGTTCCTGTTCTCTTATACTGCCTCAGGAGATAGACAGCAAATCACTCCTTCACTGGACCTAAGGCTGCTTCTGGCCAACCAATGCCCCCACCCCTGTAAGTCTACAGTTCTACTTAACAGACCCTGGACGGAGCAAGGGCCCCTTGAGGGAATGCCCAGTGTGGAGTCCAGAGAAGGTAAACACCCCTGACTTGGGGCTCCTGTGGCCTACCAGCCCTGAGGTGGGTGAAGAGGGGGCACAGCCTTACCCACAGAGACCAGGTGCCCAAAGGTCTCCAGCATCACATCGCGGTACTCAGTCCTCTGTGTCGGACCCAGAAGCCCCCACTCTTCCCGGCTGAAGTCCACAGCCACATCCTGGAAGGTAACTGGCTCCTGTAACATCACACGTGTGTCTATGCTCAGCAAGAGTGTCAGAGGGTTGTCAATGAGGGCAGAAGAAAGGCCAGCTGGGAGGTTCTGACAGAGCTCACTGTGCTAGAGACTCTCTTGCTTTGGGGATTTGCTCAGAGACACCAACCCAGGGCCCACAAGAGTTCTACTGGGTCCAAACCAGGGTCTGGGTCTCAGGCTGGGAGGCAGAGCCCTTGCTTCATAAAGAGCTCCAAGTGCAACAAGCAAACAACTCCATCCTAACGGCTCTATCCGGCTTGCCCAGTGCTGAAATCTTCCCACTGCAGAGGGTTCTCCATCTATTAATACTGTCTTCCCACTTGGTGGAAATGACAACCAAGCCCCTGCCTTTGTCGACAGGGCTGACCTGGGGGAGGGCAGCCACCTTGGCACAGCCATGACTGGTCCTTTCTGGGGAACTGACCAGGACTTTAGGAAGAAGAGGTTCCCCCAACCCTGCTTTACCAGGATCTGAGGCATTTTGCTTACATGGGGCAGAATCTGCCTAAGAAGAAAGGGGAGTGGCCAGGCACAGTGGCTGACACCTGTAATCCCAGCACTTTGGGAGGCCGAGGCAGGTGAATCACTTGAGGTCAGGAGTTCGAGACCAGCCTGGCCAACATGGTGAAACCCCATCTCTATTAAAAATACCAAAAATTAGCCAGGTGTAGTGGTGGCTGCCTGTAATCCCAGCTACTCAGGAGGTTGAGACAGGAGAATCACTTGAATCTGGGAGGCAGAGGTTGCAGTGAGCTGAGATCGCGCCGTTGCACTCCAGCCTGGGCAACAAGAGTGAAACTCCATCTCAAAAAAAAAAAAAAAAAAAAAAAAAAAAGAAGGAGGAGGAGGAAGAAAAAGGAAGAAGAAGGAAGAAGAAGAAAGGGGAGAAAGCAGAGCCATGAAACAGGTTGGCCAGAGATTCTTCCCATCACCTGGGAGCACCTGGATGCAGCCTTCCTTGCCTGAAGCCTACTAGAGAAAACATGAGAGCCAATAAATTTACTTCTACGCTTGAGCCAGTATGAGCCACTTGCAGTGCAAACAGCTCTGACCAATGACACATACATACCACTACCCTAGTGGTCAGCACATCAGAACCAATCTTTTTCACCCACACCCCAGCTCTGGGTTATTCTGAAGCAAACCCCAGATACCAAAGATAAATACCTAAGTATGCATTTCTGAATGAGGGCTCTCTTGTTCTGACCTGCATACAGATGTGCCTGCCTGTGGTAGTTCCACCTCTCAAGTTTCTGTAAACACTTAGTTCCTTCCCTTTTGCCTCCTGCTTTCTCAACTCCTGAGTCACCATGCCTTGTCCCCAGTGACGCCATGGTGGCTGGAGGGCAGGGCTGCTCTTCATACTCAGATTGCTTCAGCACAGACCTAAGAGCTCACAATCTCAGAATGCCCCAGCCTGTGGGAGGTCTTAGGAAAGCCCAGGGCAGAGTGGATGCCTCAGGGGTGGGCCTGCCTCACAGGAGATGCTGTGACCAAAAAAGGGCGACACTCCCCGCTTACCTCAGAGAGCACTGTCACTGGGCAGATGGCTGCATCCTCCTGCTTCTCCTCCTGCTGGGCAGTGACCTCAAGGCAGCAGGTGGTGCCCTCGGCAGGTTGTCCTGCAGGAAGTACTGGGAGGAGACACCAACCAGAGGAGGTCAGCAGGTGTGGGGACCCTTGGGCAGGGCAAGGGTGGCCTCTTTGCAACCCATGGGGCCACCGCACACCTGCATCGTACTGTGACTCCATGACAGCCTCTGTTCCTATCCTCCCTTCTCACCAGCTCAGCTCCCCTCACAGCACGTGCCTGAGTGCCTGCACCTGGATGGGCCCAGGATGGCTCATCCTCCAAGGGTCACAGGGCACCAGTGTCCTCACTGCTGAGACCACTCCTTCCGTTTCCGAGGGCGGCTGAGGGCCCCAGCCCCTCCTGTGAGGCAGCTGACTGACACCTCCTCCTTAGAGTCAAAGCCCCTGTTTCCGGCCTCCAAGCCCTCCACCGCGCCTATTCAGGCACCTCTTCCTTCCTCCTTCTCTCCTCCCACCTCGTGGAAGGTGAGACTGTCCCCGGACCCACAACATGCAGCCATCTTGAAGTGAACGTCACCAAGGCTCCTCCACCTAAGGAAACAACAGCTCCACCCAGGCTGAGGACGCCTCTAACCACGGCTCCTTCATTCCAACCTTCCTCACATGACCCCACATGGTCCACAGGCTTCCACAATGCTAATCCACCCCCACCATCAAGGTGGGCAACAAGATGACTTAGGCTGGCCCACTGGGCCATCCCTTTCTCTTGGCGACAGTGATTAGATCTGGGATGAACACAGCCTATGGCCAGATGATTGGAGCCAACAAGGCTTTAGCTGGAACATTTGGGAAAGAGAAATCCCATGCAGGCAGACAGCCTGCCCATGAGTGAAGCCAGTGGAGAGCAGAAGAGGTAAGAATGAGACACAGAACAAGTCTGGAGGACACTACTGGAGCTCCTGGGTCCAGCCCTGCCTGATGCTCGAGCACCATGGAACTTTTTCAATAAATTCTCCTTCTCCCATGAGCCATTCTGTGCAAGGCTTTGCAGCAGTCACATCCAAGAGTCCCAGCTAACACACTGATCACATAATGTGAGATTCTCAGGGTTCTCTGGAAAGCCTCTTCCCACTGTCTTCTGTGGCACTAATTTATTTCATTCACCCCTGAGGTTAAACAAAGGGTGAATTCACTGACTTTCACCTCATTAACCCTACAACTGTCTCCTTGGCACCTAACTAACTAGTTTCCTACTGCTGCTATAGTGAATTGTCACAATGCCAGCGGCTCAGATTAATGCAAATGTATTACCTTATGGTTCTGGAGATAAGTCTGGTTTGTGCCTCACTGGGCTAAAATGAAGGTGTTAGCATGGCTGTGTTCCTTTTGGAGGCTCCAAGGGAGAATCCATTCCTTGCCTTTTCCAGCTTCTAGAGGCCGCCCCAAACACTTGGCTTATGGCTTCTTCCTCTATCAGCTGCTTCTATCATTACATCTCCTCTGACCCTCCAACCTCCCTCTCCTAAGGGCCCCTGTGGTTATGTTAGATCCACTCAAATAATCCAGTGCATCTCTCCCTCTCAAGATCCTTAAGTTAATTGTTTCTGCAAAGTTCCCTTTGTCATGTGAGGCAACTTATTCACAGGGTCCAGGAGGCAGGACATGGACACCTTTGGGGCAATTATTCTGCCAAGTACAGCACCCCAGACTTGGTGCATCTGACACAACTCATGCAAGTGCCTGCCCTGCTGCCTCGGATACCTGCATCTCCAGGATGCCCTGGCCTCTTAGAATCCCACCATCCCCCTGCAGGATACCTTCCCCTTCCCCGCAATCACAAACATCAACCAGTCAGTCATTTGCTCACATCAGAAACCTCTTCTGGGCACCTGTGAATGTGGAAAATGGAGGTGAGCAATGCAGAAGCACGCACACTCTGTGAAACTCAGCCTGATGAAGAAACCGAGTCTTGGAGTCTTACTTCCAAATACACACTCCACACGTGTACTCTCTCCCCAGTCGGCCATCACCATTGTTCCTATCCGAGACACCACCCATCAAAGGGCATGGCAATAGCTGCGGGTAGCCTGTGTGTCCAGCCTCACTCCCATCCTCTGTCCACCATCCACCACCCATGCAGCCTGGTGGATCTCTTTTTTTTTTTTTTTTTTTTTGTTGAGACGGAGTCTCGCTCTGTCGCCCAGGCTGGAGTGCAGTGGCGCGATCTCGGCTCACTGCAAGCTCCACCTCCCGGGTTCACGCCATTCTCCTGCCTCAGCCTCCCGAGTAGCTGGGACTACAGGCGCCCACAACCGCGCCCGGCTAATTTTTTGTATTTTTAGTAGAGACGGGGTTTCACCGTGGTCTCGATCTCCTGACCTTGTGATCCGCCCGCCTCGGCCTCCCAAAGTGCTGGGATTACAGGCGTGAGCCACCGCGCCCGGCTAGCCTGGTGGATCTCTAAAGGTCAAATCCAGTGGTGCCACCAGTTTCTGGAACGCAGGGATCGAACCCTACTGTTTTAGAAGAACATTTTGCTTTGCTTTAGGACTAAAGTCCCCACTGGCTGTGCCAGCTCCACCCTCTGCTCGCTTCCATCACAGACATACCCGATTTTTCTGAGTTTTGCATTTACTGTGATCCCTTCCATCTTGGTCCTTACAGGCAGTGCTTCCCTCTACATGGCACATCTTTCCTACCCCCTTTCTTTACCCTGGCCAAGTTCCACTCCACACCAGGTGTCAGCTGCAGACCTTCATGAACCTTACCATCACCTCGAGCTCCTCGCAGCCCCAGCATTTTTCTATGCATTCTCATTTGTCAAATCCCTGTCTCTCCTGCTACTGCAGGCTCCGTGAGCTCAGTAGTCCCATCTATCTTATCAAGTGCTATAGGGTTTATGGTGCAGCAGGGATGCCAGAGGGATGAAAATGAAGCACTTCATCTGTGTGCATCCATCAGAAGCCCACGAAGGGCTAAAGAATGCAGGGGTTTCAGTGGCTCTGACTCAGGAACACGTGGGGAACGTGGATGTCCTCAGTCTGTATGGAGTGGGCACAATCCTTCCCACGACCTTCCCAGGAAGCCTGGAGTTCTTATCTCCCCTACAGGGTCCTCCAAGACACCCTCATTAAGCTGTCCCTCTACCCACCCTTCCACTTACCTTCCTCCTCAGATATCCAGGTCACACCCTCTACCAGGGCCACCACCTCTTGGCAGTTCTCTGGGTGCTGCGATTCCACCCATGTCCGTAGCTTCACAGGCAGTGCACCTAGGAACTGCTCTAGCACCAGCAGCTCCAGGATCTGCTCCTTGGAGCGTGCCTCAGGCTGCAGCCACTGGTGACACAGCTGTCGGAGCTGGTCCAGGGCCTCCCGGGGACCTGTCATGTCCTTATAACGGAACTGCCGGAACCTCTGGCGAGCGGCCTCAGGGTCACCTGGATGCTTGCCCTGCTGTTGGACCTCCTCACTGGGGGCATCTGGGCTCAGGCTTCCATCTTCAGCATATAGGGCCTGGATCTGGGCATTCCGGGGACCAGCCACCTCCTGGTTCAATGTGAGGACCTCAACAACCTCAATGTTCATCAGGGGACTCTCAGCAGGAAGAGGATCCAATTTAGGGTCCAGCTGGAGCTCAGAATACTCTGTAAGTCAAAAGCAGAGCAAGATAAATGAGAATAAGCACATGAAAAGATGCTCAACATCATTATTCACTAGGAAAATACAAGTCAAAACCACAGTGGAATATACTTCACACCCACTGGGATGGCTGTTACCAAAGATGATGGTAACAGGAGAGGATGTGGAAAAACTGGAATACTCATACACTGTTGGTGGGAATATAAAATGCTGTACCGCTCTGCGAAACAGGTTAGCAAATCCTCAGAAGTTAAACACATAGTTATCCATGACCCAGAGATTCCCCCCAAGTATATATAGCTAAGAAAATTGAAAGCATATGCCCCCAAAAACTTCTATAAGAATGTTCACTGAAGTGTTATCCATAATAGCCAAAAAGTACAAATAATCCATTGTCTATCAACTGAGGAATGTATAAACAAATTGTGATCTATTCATACAATGAAATATTGGCAATCAAAAGGAATGAAGTACTACTAATATATGCCACAACACAGGTGAACCTTGAAAACATCATGCTAAGTAAAATAAGCCAGACAAAAAAGGCAACATATAATATGAAATGTCCAGAATATACAAATCCAAAGACAGACAAGTAGATTAGTAATTGTTAGGAAATGGAGAAATTGAGAGGATTGGTGGGAGACTGCTAATGGGTATGGGGTTTCTTTCTTGGGTGAAGAAAATGTTCTGGAATTAGATAGCAGTGAAAACTGTACAACCTTGTGAATATATTTAAAAACACTGAACTGTACACTTTACAAGAATGAACTTTACAATGTGTGAATTATATCTCCATATAGCTGTTATAGGGAAAAGAACAAAAGGCAATGAGGGTTGA